TGTGCTGAATTGTAATCACTAGTGTGTTTATATCAGTCATATGAAAGAACAGGTGTGGTGGCAGCAGGCCAAAGACCAGCAGAAATAGACATGGGAAATTCTGGGGTGGATGTTCCTTTTCCTCTCACAATTGTTCAAGCAATAGCACAGTTCTAATCCAGAGAGACAAATTCAATCTGTGGCACCTTTCGCTTCCTTCACCAATGTGAGGGGGTGCTATGAAGCCTGCCATGGTCCAGGAATAGCCTGTCAGTCACATGGAAGAACAGAAGTGGTGGTGGTAGGCCGAAGATCAATGAAAGGAGAAGCACCCATCTCCTCTTCTCTTTCTGCCACAGATGGAAGCTGCAACAGAGCTGCAGAGAATGGCGAGGGAGGCATTGCTTCCTTCAGAGTCTCCCACCCTGCACTTAGCTCTGAAAGCCACAAAGTCCATGCGGAGAAAGCCTGAAAGAAGCACCAATTCCCTCTGCTCTCTATGCTATGGTGGGGAAGCACCATGGAGATGCCACCATTTACCCAACCAAAAGCATAGAAGTGGTGGTGCATCGAAGGGAATGGTAGTGGGGGTATTGGTACTTCCCTTAGCTTCTTGGTTTGGTCATGGCTTCATATAAAATCAATAATTTTGACACTAAATCTGCCCATGAAATTGATTTATACACACTAATGTATGGTAGGGGCCCCTGGTGGTGCTGCAGGTTAAACCGCTAAGCTGCTGAACTTGCTGAACAAAGGGCTGGCAGTTCGAATCTGGGAGGCGGGGTGAGCTCCCACTGCTAGGCCCAGCTTCTGCCAACCTAGCAGTTTGAAAACATGCAAATGTGAGTAGATCAACAGGTACCGCTTCTGCGGGAAGGTAATGGTGCTCCATGTAGTCATGCTGGCCACATGACCTTGGAGGTGTCTATGGACAATGCCAGTTCTTTGGCTTAGAAATGGAGATGAGCACTACCCCCCAGAGTCAGTCACGACTAGACTTAATGTCAGGGGAAACCTTTACCTTTACTATGTATGGCGCTTGTTGCCATCTAATTTGGCCACTCCCTACTCCATTATAGTTAGGGATATACTATCACTATCATTCTGCTGGCACAGGTAGAAATTAAGACTTGCCTATAGCTATATAGTTCATAGTAGGCAATCCAAAAACTTCCTAAATCATATTCTGCTTGTACATGCCAGTTTTTTTATAGAGTATCAAGCAAACAATATGGAATGCCACAAGCTTTCAAACATATTTAGCATTATGGGAGCAAGAGAACAAATATGCAATCTACTTCATCACTGATAGCAAAATATGGAGGGTGGATGGGAATCCAGAGGAGTGAGGCCCAGAAGCAAAAGGAAGTATAGAGGTCAAGCTAGAAGGGCAATGAAATTTCCAGATAGAGAAATGGAAAAAGAACGAGGCAAATCCAAATGGTGGTGAATGTTTGGATTTTACACTGTTATTTAAATTTGTCATCAAGCGAATTGAAACACATGTTTATTTTTCTGGAATAAATGCTAGTTCTTTTCATATATAATATCAAAAACTAACCAAATTTAATAATCACATGGCTAAACTTTATGGCATATTGTATTTTACAGAAAGTATTATCTGCTTCTGTAGCAACCTAGCAATTAAAGCTGGGGTGGGAAATGATATAAAGTACAACAATTATACTAAGTGATCTCCATCATTACATAATTGTAACTTAATTTGGTTTGAAAAACAAACTTCAAATTAAAACTGTTGCAATTTAGTAAAGGAAACAGTGACCCCCAATGGTCATCATGGTTCTGTGCAAAGAATGCAAAGAATTCTAAGAGGCATATTCATCACAAATTGAACTCATTAGTTCAAGCAACCATCACCAACAACCAATTATTTACTCAATTATGTAAACCATTTCAAAACTTATTTGGAAGGAAGGGGTGTAAAAGTGCAATTTAATACTTGTCTACTCAGAAGTAAACTGCCTTAGATTCAGTGGGGTTAAATGAGACTGAAAAGGCAGCTGTAATAGCTTACTTCTGGAAGTCAACAATCCAGGTTGTTTTACCAGTGAAATATATCAAAATGTTTGCATCTTGTTTAGTTTAAATCTTCAAAGATTGTAAAGTAGCTAAGAAAGAGAAGCTGCCTTTCCCCAAAACCTTCAACAATAGAATGCTACTGACCTCCACTGGTGGATTGTAGGGCTACAGAACTACAAAATGCCACACACATTGCACCGCAGCCATTGATAGAAAGACCCGGACAAAGCTAATGATACCCATTCTTCAAAATAATGCCACTTGTTTAAAACACATTCTATTTCCTTTGATAATATATTATAGTTATAATGTTTAGGGAGTCAGGCCTCTGTTTAAACATATTTGTATTAACCTGCAGAAATTTAGCACAAAAACAATTTAACAAGCTAAGACACAACCAGGGAATATTTGCTAGAGAAGAGGAAGCTGTGGCATGCATCTCCAGACAAAAGGGAACAAGTGGCCTTCAATCGAAGAGCAGCTTCCTATTAAGACTCAGTCCTTCGTACATTATGCCTTTCATCCCCACTCAACCACAAAATGATTTTGCTGTAGGACACACAATGGTGGAAAAAGATTTACATTGAAGGAATCTTTAATAATAAACTGTTGCAGGTCTGCTGACTTCCCCCCATGATTTATAATACAATAAACATTGGATTCTATTAAGTCTCATGCACTGAAGTTGCACTGGAAAAAAAGGAATATGAAAGCACTCAATTCTTCCCATCTCCAGTGCCATAATAGTGAAATGAGCATGGATAAATGTGCTAAGAGTATCTCTTTGCATCTTTTATAGCTTGCGTGTATTAATCTGTAAAGCTTATTAAGAAAGTCATTGCTATGCAAAGCAGCACCCAATCTCTTTCTCTCGCTTTTCAACAGAGTGCAGTGTTTAGCCAATAGGACTTGGCCGCTGCCCCTCATTCTGCATTCATAACATGCAACATTTGCACAATGTATCTCTCAAAGACTGCTGAATAGAAAGCCTTAATACTCATGTAAACAACTGCAAACCAATTACTTAATGAATCAGGCCCACGCATAATGAGGTGCCAGACAAAGAGCTATAAATGCATTTTTGCGCCCAAGCCTCTGCTTTAAAGTGAAATCCCTCAGCTGTAGTTTGGGCTTAACTAGCACATCATAATTATTGTCTGTAGAACATCAGAGGAAGCCATTTTTTTATTTAGGTCCATCAGGGTATTTTTCGAGGTCACTCATCAGCTCAGTGACTAAACATTGCGAAGGGGGAAAAAAATAAAAGTACCACAGTGGTACTAGACTGTTATGTGTATTTTCAAGTACTGGGTTTCGAGACCACTTGTAAAAGCAATAAAGCGCAAGGAGTGACAATAAGTGGAATCCTTAGACATCAGCCTGTAAGAAATTTCACTGTGTCCCAATTGCAAATAAGCACTTGAGTCATTTCCCATTCTTTCACACTTTATTCCTACACTGTGCTTGTAAACATCTTTTTAAGATAGATGTCAAGTGTAAAGCAGCAAGTGTTACTAACTGATTTGATTTTAAAAAGCATTTTATTTCCCAGTTACTGAGGGAGGTAAAATGCACACTATTCGTTTTTTTCAAAAAGTAGTAGTAATTCATACTGTACTATGAAATGCATTTTCTCCTAAGGCTAGGGGCAAGAAATGACACAGTGCAGCAAACGTTTTTCCAAATATCAGTCTGCCGTGTATATAAATAATCTCAATGCTACCAAATTTGCATTGTATGAACTGTGTTTCAAAAAAATGCTAGAAACTCCTGATTCATATTATAATGTAAACAACTGCCCTCTAGGACATTCATTTTTGAGAAAAAAATATTGTATTTGCACATATGCCTCTTCCTTTATAAAAGAAATAATAGCTAAAAGCTACTTCAAATTTTGGGATGCTAGATATAGCTTCCACAGCCTATTATTCTCTCAAATAGCAATGCCAATTGGAAAATGCAATTTTAAGACATTCATTTTAATAAAGCAACTCTTAAAAGTGTTACTTACTATGCCTACCTCTTAAAAACCAGATATAGAATACTTTATACTATGCAACATACTAATATATCACAATAACACATAATTCAGGCCAAACCCTGTACAAAAAATCACGTAGTTCACAATTAGAAATTCTAAGCACATTGAAAGATAAAACATGTAATCATGAGGACTGCTTACAGTAAAAGGCATTATCACACTATACCTCTATGTATAAACACGTAAGCTGTATATCAGGCATCATAAACAGGAGCTTCCAAGGAGAAACACAAGCAGAGCCAGCTATGAAAGTGCATTAATAATTATTATGTAACAATCTAAAGCCAATCTAAAAGTCCACAATTGTTTACCATGGTTCATTTGCTATTACCGCTTGATTGCCAGTAATTTGATTCATGCTGCTAACAAGGGGGAAAAAAGAGTAACAAAACGTTACTCAAAGAACTGAAAAAAGATAAATTGCACCTCTTTTGGAAAAAGCAAGGACATTAATTAAATGCTCTCAATTTGAAAACACAAAAGAAGAAAGTAACAAATAATCTAGTATCAAATACTTCTTTAAAGGACACAAAATAGGTATTGAGCTGAAGCTCATTTACATTTCAACTACATCCAGAAGACGACACACCACTTTATTTCTTCAAGACTTTATGTTTTACGCCTGCCCTTTTCCTGACAACTTCCATTGTCTGGTCTCTAAGTAGTCCTACTGAGAGCAGCTGTACACGCTAATTTGTGGTTCACTGAGATGTCAATTGAGTCTTAAAATGAGAAAACAACAGCTGCAAAACAATACCTGGCTTTAGTGCAAATATTTTCTAAGGTGTACAATTTTTTAAACGGTTGTTTCAGAGAAACAAACATCTGAACCATAGCCTTTGCATCAAAATATTGTTGCCAAGGCTCCATTAACTTTCTAGGAGCATTTCTCGGTGGATTGAAGCTATTCAAAAATGAAACATTTTAATGACTTTACCTTGACAAAGAGCTTCTTCTTTCCGGAGATGAAAAACTAGGCTCTGAACTGGTTCTATCACTTTTCTGTTCCTTTAAACCACTTCCATCAATATTCAAACCTTTAAAAAGGATAAACAACGAACAGATTTAATTAGTTGTTTACCAAATTAAATTAAGAGAAACCACACAAAGTTAACTTCTGACCTGAAGAAGGTAGCAGGAATAGATATTTAAATAGGGAGCAGGGCAGAAATTTTAAAACAATGTTTAAAAGAATATGGTTTTTTAACACAACGTAAGAGAATTCAACAACCCTAGAAACAGTTTTCCCCAAATAATGTTTTTGAGATTTTCCAGTGCTAATATTTACATGATGATAGAACAGTGGGGCATAAAGAATAAAACCAACACTTTCACAAAATTTAGAAAATGTTTGATTTTTAATAATAAATACTTTTTTGGTCAAACCATATCTAAAGCACATGATAAAATACTCCTGATGTTGAGATCCATCGAACATACTACTAGAAAGGAAACAACAATGCAGAAATTACTATTCATTTCCCTGATAAGCAGCCCTTTCTTCTTCTTCAATGGATTATGGTTTTGTCTTGCAGGATCACTGGACAATATTCTATGCATGCTCTATGCTCTGGGCATTACCATACTATCCTGAACAAAACAAAATGCACCAAATTTTGGGAGCTAAGTAGAGTTAACTGTTATTGTGTTCAGGCTTTGTTGGACCATGCTGGCCCAGTTAACGTCACTGGCGACTCAATCAACCCACATTTCTTGATGAACCTTTATTGGCTTCGGTAAATAAATATGGATTTTTATGTTTAGGTTTTAAGTTAGATATAATTTTGATAGCTTTGTTTAATCTGTATATGTCAAGTTGTAAGTTGTTTTCATATGTGGGGTTATTTTAGGTTATTATTTTTGTATTTGTTGTTGTTCCGAGGCACTGAATGATTGCTCCTTTTTTGTTTGTTGGAATCTGCCCTAAGTCCCTCGAGGAGATAGGGCAGAATATAAATAAATAAATGATGATGATGATGATGATGATGATTAGGTTATTATTATTATTAGGTTTCATGACTGGCACAGGGAAATCAGGATACATCAGGAATCTCCATACAAGTCTAGGAGCACATCTGCACTGACCTGTTATATTGAAAAGGGGGCAAATTAGCTCAATGGCTAAATGCAGCCTTGAACTGCATTAACAAAAATCACAGGTTGCTCCAAATTCCCCCATGAATCTGAAGAAACCAGTTCTTTGGGTCTGTTTAATCAATTGGGCTGGATCCGAGCCAGTTGACACAGCTATTCCATCTTTCCCAGGCTCAGGAGGCTTGGGACACATACTGCACTCACACAACTAATGGCTGTTGCTCATCGCCTGGAGTGATGCTAGCCGAGACACAGGGGTGATTGGAGAAGGGCAATTCTTTTTTTCCTCTCTCGTATTGTACTTGTTTCCTGATCAACACTAGTCTAGGCAATGAGTGACATCCACTAGCCATATCGCATCTGCTGGCCACTGTGATGACAAGAATGGGAGGGCAACGATAAAGGTGGCTGTTCAGCAGCACCGAACCAGTGCAGCCAAACAGTCAGGACTCCTTCCCACTTCTGGAGGACTGGTGCGGGAAGGAGCTGGTGATCAAAACCATCCTGCGGCCAATCTGGCATTTGCTGGTCCAGATCAGCCCTGGGATATAGGGACCATGTAGTAGCGCCACTCGAGGAAAGAATCCCAACTGAAATATTGGGATATTATGACAGTCAGAGCTGACAATACTGACCCTCATGGGTCAGTATTCTAACATGCCATGATTGACACTTGCTCTCGATTCCTATTACTAATTTGAACTTTCCTGGCACCATTGTAATTTATACATGTATACAATAGCTGACACTGGTTTTTAAAACCTGTTTTCCGGTGGAAGAAATAAAAACAGCATAAATTGAGATTATAGTGTTACATTTGTACATACATGCCCTATATCAATATAACTTAACTTCATGGGTCAATTTAAACAATTAGATATGGCATATTTTAAGATCTGGTAGTTTAAAAAGAGTAATGAATATGACAGAATAATAGAATCCTAGAGTTGGAAGCTACGTTGTTGGCCATCCAGTCCAACCCCCGGCCAAGAAACAGAAAAACTGCATTTAAAGCACCCCCGACAGATGGCCATCTAGCCTTTACCATACTCTGGGGCAGAGAGTTCCACCACACTAGAAACAGTGTCTTATTTTTAAAGCATGGGCATAACATCAGGAATCTATGAGTGCATGATATTGTTTTTAAACACTATAAAATTTAAACATAATGAATCATTCAATGAAAAGACACTGTAAAACTACAAGCCCTTTCAAAGGTGATAGGGAGTGTGTCCCACTGAATTTACTATAGTGAAAAAAATGATGCTTAGAGAATTGTCATGAATTTACAGAAACGTTTCAAATTCACAAAATAGTATACATAAATGTACAATTTCACATCATATCCAAAGCTGTTTTAAAAAAAATCCATACTTGGTTGTCATAGTCAAATGCAAACCTCTGTCAAACAAATAAAAACAAACCTATAAACTTTATCATCACAAGGAATTGTTAGGCTTATAGATATTTTCCTAATGATTTCCTAACAACTATTTCAGGGACCTGCACAGACAGTGGTTTCTACTCTTAATGGTACAATCACATTGATCTTTCTTGCAATAGGGATTGGCCATATCTTGCTACCTGCACATAGAAGGATGCAGTATCTCCAATTAAAAGGGAGATCAGAGAGCAAGAATCTGTCTGAAATGCTGAAAAGCCTCTGACAGAACAGATCATACTGAACTAAGCAGAGCAGTGGAATGATTCAGAATAAGGGAGCTTCATGTTTGTTTAAATTTCTACTCCAAATTTATAAGTCTCCCATTTTAAAAAAAAGCATGTACCCACTGAACAGAGTAGAACAAATTTTGAGTAAACATCTGTAGGAGTAAATATCAACAGCGCTCCAAAATAATATCAATATAAATTATATACCTGTCAACTCTAGCTGTTGAAAACTAACTCTAAGAAGTGCATTATACAGAATCTAAATGGAAAAGTAGAGATTTTGATAAATCTCGGTTTAGGGGAACAGAAGCAGCCACTCAGAACAGTCCTTCTTAAGTTATTTGATGATAGGAACCAGCGGGGCCCTCTTCCCACTGTTCCAGGGACCGGCAAATATTCATGCTCATTGGTTACAACTGTTTCATTCTTTCCTGGAACACAGCGTGGATCAGCACTGGCTCCTTACACTGGCACCAATTCATGGACCTCCCTTTTGAATACCACTGACTGTAGGATCCACAGTATCGAACAGTATTGATTAAACCAACATGTTTAAGTATGCCTGGTAATCAACAGGCACATTTTAAAAAGCTCTCTGTTACCCCCCTCTGTAAAGAAACAATATTTGCCAAATTTTAACCTTCGAAACAGTTACAGATACAGGATGTCATCGCTCATGTTACCCTTGAGGATAGCTTGTGCATATTATTATTTTTTATTTTTAAAAGGCCACATTCTTAAAATGGTTATATGAATAGCAGTTGTTTTTGTTCATTTTTACATTGCCTTGCCAGGTCTACCTTGACAGCTTCAACAACAACAAAAGAAAATTAGCCACTGGCACTTTCCATCGAGGATCTGGTGAAAAACCCAGCCTACGACAGAACTTTGTGTTCAACGACACAATGTCCGGATTGATGGACCAGTGAGTGCCTGTTTCTTTTAACTTTGTTTGGTTTTCAGATTATTTTCAAAGTTGAGATTACAAGAACAGGTGGCAGGCCCATGAGTATATCCCTTAATTGAATAAAGTGGAAAAGGCCTGAGGTTTCTGAACTTACAAGAATGGGTAACAGTTCCATTCTCTTTATCAGAAGCCTGAGCTGAGCAGCAGTAACCCACATTTTAAAAGATGCATTTTGATGATGCTTGGATCTGAAGCATGCCATAGAATCACACTAGAGGACCTAGAAAGACACAAAATATTTTTTGGAGCTGGACAAGTGAAAAAGTGGATAAGGAGGACATACTGTGCTCCTACTGTAGAGCAGTATTTGTCTCTCCTAATTAAATTCATGCACCTTTTTTTGAGCAGGGTTGACATTATTACAGATAGAATGCATTCTACACTAGGCTACAGAATTGAAGAGTTGGATGGTGTCTTCAGTATGACGACTGACCATTATAGTTATTGATTGTAATTTCTGTTTTAATGTTTTACTGTAATATGTATTATGATGTTCTATTGCTTGTATGTGATATTATGGTTGGAAATCAGTCTGAGTCCCTCAAGAGAGGTGAGAAGGTCGGTATACAAAACTTTTAAATAAATAAATAAATAAATAAATAAATAAATTCATTAAAAAATCTTTTCACTCTGGCTTCCTGCCACATGCTTAAACTTGGTCTCTCAGGCCCACTAGTTTTCTAGCATTTAAGCATTCTTGACAGGGAAGTATGTTTTATTCAAGGGCACCAAATCTGAATGTGCCTCTTAAAGCTTTTAGCTGTAGATCTACACGTTAGATGGTGAAGAACATGAAACTCAGTGGAGAACTCCAGGACTAGGACAGCATAGTAACACTGGCTATAGTTTTTTAAGATGCATGTGTTCTACATCAAGTTTCTGGGTAGTATAGAAAGTCACCAGCAGTTCTTCATTCAGTTGTTGGTTTGTTAGAAGTCTCAGATGGTACAATCTCCGCTGGGCATTCTTAACCAATTCTGCTGTATGAGTGCCCAGGTCAGATCCTCCTGAATAGTGACACCCAGGAACTTAAAACTGGCTACACACTCCACTTGGTTTCATTTATAACCAAGGGCTAGATTTCTGGTTTGTTTTTTCTGTAGTCCACTATGAGCTCCTTGGTCTTATTGATGGTAAGAATCAAATTATAGCTCTTTCCATTGTTAACAAGCTTGTAGGATGGGGATAGTGAATCAGCTAGCACTCAGACTAGTTCAATAATGTGATTCTGGTCATATTTTATAGGAAAGCCATGCATGCTGTAGACAATAAATCTGTGGTTGCTGACTTTCTATGGCCACTCTT